AGGAGAAAGGTATCTCATGGGCCTTCTGAGTGACCTCTTTCAATCTTGAGCACTCTTATTGTGTAGCTCAGATCACCAATCTAGTGTACACATTTTTACAGTTGCGAATTTTCAGGCAAGAGGTTGAAAACAAATCCCAATTTAGTCTTATTTCTTAGAATTCATCATGAAATCTCCAATGAGCCAAAATAAACAATGAAATGTACATGAATATACATACAAAACAATAATTGTCTGAATGAAAGTTTCATTAATGCCAATGTTTGAAAAATTTAAAAGTAATACATATGTGAAAACTTCTACAAAATTCCTTTGCACATGTATACACATTTTCTCTCTTAATATCCCCTTTTTCTTTGAGCAATGAAATCCCTTAGATGTTTTGCACGAGCGCTTTCAAATGAATTTTCGAATTCACATTGTAGGGTCTGCCTAAGAATCAAGTAACACTTGTAATTTTCAAACTTTATCAGATCAAAATTGTTATCAGATATAGAAAGGTATTTTCCCCTTATTGAAATATTTTATGAATGCAGGGGGAGGGGAAAAACAAAAGGAAAAAGACCCAGAGTCAGTAAGTAAGAATAAAAAATCGGTATGCATGTCCTATGGGGGAACCCTTTTTATGCCAAGGGTAGGCCTAGCATGAAAATGCAATCCTCTGGGGTAGGCACTATAGCATACCTGATGAATCCAATCAACTTATTGAGCGAAGAATGATTAAAAATGAAAATTGTCCAATTGGAGTGAAAAAGGGACATTTGTCCCAAAGATGAGGACAAAGTCCGAATGGATTGCATGTTTTGATCAACACATAATGTGCAAAAGGGGTAAAATGGTCAAATGCATTGAATAAAATTTGATTATTTATTGAAAATTGAATGGATAACCCTGAAAATGAATTAAACTGATCAAATAAATTGAATGAAACCAATTGATCAAACCGATCGAGTGAAAGGATGATTTATTCAAAATCGACCGAATTGCCCTAAAAATAGGTAAACTGGTCAAATGGATCGGATGATTTATTCAAAATTGATTAGATCACCCTAAAAAGGGCAAATGGTCGAATGAATTGATGATTTATTCAAAAATCGACCGGATGACCCTAGAAAAGGGTAAATTGGTCAAATGAATGAAATGGAGTTAATGATTTACTCAAAAATCGGCCAAATCACCCTAAAAGGGTAAATTGGTCGAATGAATTGATGATTTATTTAAAAATCGACCGGATCGCCCTAAAAATAGGTAAACTGGTCAAATGGATCGGATGATTTATTCAAAATTGATTAGATCACCCTAAAAGGGTAAACTTGGTCAAATGAAATTGAACGAATCTGATGATTTGAATTTATTCAAAATCGATTGAGTTGACCTAAGAATGGGTAAACTAATCAAATGAATTGAATGAAATTGGTGATCTTATTCAAAAATCGACTAGATTGCCCTAAAATGGATAAACTAGTCAAATGAATTCAAAATCGACTAGGTTGCCCTAAAAATGAACAAATTGATAAAATGGACTGGATGAAATTGAGAATCAAATGATCCAATGGACTGAATGGCTTGATGCATTAGTCTATGAGCCTTCTAAAATCAAATTTTGGCCTCAGTTTATTTATCGTCTCATCAGTGAGGAAATATTGGTGAATGTTCCAATTAATGTCCTTTTTGCAAGGGATTTTTACCAATTTGATAAAATGGCCAAAAAGTGATTGTTAGACGCTCATATTCCAAAGATTGCTCTATGAAAATGATCGGATCCTACCTTACCTTGTGCACTACCCCTTTGGATGGTACAAAATGTAAACGTGCAAGTCTCCTTGGATTAAGTATCCGAGACACAAGGTGGCTTATTCCTAACACGGGATCCCCTAAATGGCATTCCCTTCTAAGGCAGATGCATGATGCCAGTTTATTAAAGCAATAAAACATGCGATTTAAAGAAAAACGTGCTCTAAGGAGCCCTTTATTGTGAAGACCCGAAAAATTTCTTATTTTTTTTCGAATATTAATGGTTTCATTAAGTATTTATCCACCTGTTTTCCCCAAATAATTTATTACGACCATTTTAAATCCATTCGTATGGAATAACGTCTTCATTGTGTTTTTAAAATGTCCCGTTAACAACTTCAATTTTCGGAAGGATTGTTTAAGTGCGAGATAGTGAACACGAGTGTTTCGAGGTGATATTATATTCGAGAGCATGATTATCCTGGGGAAATTAAGAACGGACAATAGCAGATTAAGAAAAGTTAATCGAGAATTAAAGGTGAATAAGTTCTAAGTGAGCATATACTACTCACGCGTGGATAGTTTTCCAAAAGACGCATGGATACAAATTTATTGGAGATTTGAGGAGTTAATACTCGACTCATGTGAGGACTCGTAAAAACTATTATTTTATTTAAACCTAATTTATGGCTTAATAAATGATTTAATTGGATTTTTGCCACGAGGAATATTTTCTAATCTTATTAGACCTAAATACATGGTAATATAACTTCGTTATATTTTTAAAATGATTCGTTTCAAAAATTAATTTCCTAGAGCGCGTTTAGTAAAAATAGTGAATAGTGCTTGGAGATTTTAACCGCGTAGGAGCACAGTGAACTTGGAATATTGGAGACTTGTACTACGGTCCTAAAATAGGTAATATTATGAATAAATACTCAAGTGATAGTTAGTAGCGCAATCGTTATAAGAATTTCTCGGCAGTTTCGCGTTATAACGTTAAAATTGACGGTACGCGTTTTCACACACGCGATTTTGTTTGAGGGACTTTAGACCCTTATTTCGGGACAATTAAGAGTGAATAATATTTACATGAATATAAATGCATTGGAGGTTTAGTGCACTAGTGAACCAAACGCGCGAGAAAATCGAGCCTAAAACGTGCCAAACGAGCCCTAATGAGAGTTGACTTTGGAGTGAATTTACACCACTCATTTAATCTTCTCTTGGATCAAAATTCACTCTCTCTTCTCTCACCAAGAGTGCCGACCAGTCTTCCCTCTCTCACTCACTCTCTTGCTTCACAAATTTCTTCACTAAATCAACCCAAAACCTCAACCAATCTTCACCAAACTTGGAGATCATCTAGCAAACTACTTGGAGGTTGGATTTAGCTAACAAAAAGGGCTGCATTTTCACGGTTTCTTGGAGCTCTTGAGGACCGAAAATTTCTGGGTTAAGGCACTAAGGAGGTATAACTTCATCCTACACCTTAAACTTGAATTATGATGGTAGAAATGCATCTTTAAGCTAGTGCATGTGTATGGATGGCTTGATATGGTTGTAAAATGTGAAAGTGGGCTCTTTGTATTCCCACACTTGGGTTGTTGTTACTGATTAGAGGATTAATGTTGGATTTAATGGTAGTTTAATGGTTATAATGATGGATTCATGGAGTATTATTGTTGGAAACTCAAAGTAGAGGTCATGACAAGAAATTTCCGAAACTGCCCCTGTTTTATTCGGCCACTATAAGGCCAATTTTTTGGTGATTTATTGGCATGAACCTGATGTTTATATGTTATATTAGATGTGTGAAAAATTTCATTGAAAAATAATAAGGTTTGGTTGGGCAAATGAATTTTTTTTGGGGAAACTAGCAAATCTGGAAACTGTTCACGTATGGCTCAGACCAGCGGTGGTGTTTTGGCTATAACTCTGTCCTCGGATGTCGAAATCATGTGCCGTCAGTGGCGTTTGAAACTAGACATCCCAGGCTTTAATTTGAGATAAAATGCATGTTCTGATTCTTTGTGAGTGAGCCGAACCAAACGTTTTAAGATCACTGTCCTGTCTCTCGGATCTGCTGGAATGGTTTGTAGAGGCAGCAACTTGAGGCTCAATTTCGAGCTGGTTGCTTGCCAAATTTTGGAATGATTTCTTCTGTGAACTTTTAGTCCTATGAATTTATTTTCCAACGCCATAAACCACACTCCATTCCGAGTTAAATTGAATGCGTTGTGACCAAAATAAGAAGACTGCCCTGTTTTGGAAAAAAACGTAACATTTGGACTGGTTTTGGACAAAAACCGTGAGTGATCTTATTAATTGAAATTTCGATGCTAAACCATTACCAAAGGTATCATGGTTGTATCTTAGACCTTTATTTCACAAATGAACCATGGTTGGATAGTTTTCTTGGTTAAACGATTTGAATTTGGGAAATGAAAGTCAAAAGGCAGATTGCCTTAGGAATTTTCCGAAACTTTGGATGATTAGTTAACTACCTTTCCGAGGGTATTTTTCCCTGAATTTTGACAGGGAGATACCTTCCATATAGTATTGAAATACTGCCAATTTTAGTGTCAATCCAAGTTCGTTTCGATACCTAATTAAATTTCTAGAGTTGGAGGTTCAAATCTGGAAAATTCTTCTCCAGTCTTGAATTTTTCCCAACTTTGAGCTACCGTATCTCGGTACTCAAAACTCCGATTCTTGATCCGCTTGCTTTGATATACACCTCACTTGCAACTCTAATTGGGTTACAAATTTCAGAGGCCGGTTTGCAACGTGTAAATCGTGCCGAATTTTCAAAGTTGGCCGAAATCCAACTTAATGCTGCCTTGAAACCAAGTCTGCACCTTCAAGCCCATTTTTGAGCACTTTCCACTTCGATTCATGGAAAAGTGTCTTCTAGGAACTTATATTACTTTCTAAGAGGTTTCCAACGGTATAAATTTTTCCAATTTTCGACTTGTACCGAGTGAGTTACGATTTTTCAAAGATTCATGATAAAGCTGAAAATTTTCCAATTTCAAAGAAATAGAGTTTTTTCAAGAACTCTTTACACTTTTGATATTATCTAAACGTTTTGCCCACGATTTTCATGATAAAAACTCAACTAATATTATACTTCATAAAACGCAAGTTGAACCTCGATTTACGAGTAATTGAGGTTCATTTTTGTGAAATATTCCTTAGATCGTACTAATGTACAATCTTACTTGATAATTGAGATACTTGAGTAATTATCCACCATTAACTGCTAGGCACACAAGGAGACCTTCAAGAGGATCTCACCATGGACACTTGAACTCCAGCGAATAATCTTTATTAAATTGCTCGGTGAGTGTCAAGTGTGTGAATCTTTGATACTTGCTTAATTGTGGTAATTATTAGAGATTTTAAAAATAAGGGCGGGTGTGTACTTTATCGCATCCGTTCTGATTTCAAATGAATGAATGAAATGTATTGAATGAATAAATGAAATGCAATGCTATGTAATGGTTACATATGTCGTTGGAGTGAACCTCCTCGACTTCCAAATGAATGGGGGACGCCCAAACTCATAGGCCGACCTTGAACTCGAGCCGGCAATGGGCTTGGTCGGGAACTTGGGCGAGCCATGAGATTATAAGCTCGACCTAATAAGAGGTCCTGCTTGGCATACTCGTAAAGTATCGCCTTATAACAGACTTGTGGGCCCTTGGGGTGTACGGTGGACGGAGGGAAGTAAGTGGTGATCTACGGAAATGGAAATACCGACCCGGTTGACAGGAGGGTCAATGCGGGAAGGTATACGAATGACATCGGCAGAGCGAGTGGAACTTAGCTCCTGAGAGCTACTACTATATCCTTGAATTGTTTCTGATTATTTTTCCTGCTCAAATGGTACTTTATTGAAATATCACGGTTTTATTTAATAAAGTTGAGATTGCTATTTGAACAATGTGCTTGCATGTGTGTCCTTGGCCTCACGAGCGTTTTGCTCACCCTGTAGATTTGTTTTCCTTACCAGGACTGGAAATGGAGTTAACGCGGAGAAATCTCCTTTTGGATATATTGTGTTTTAGGGTTTCAGGTGTATTTTGGCTTGACCCCTTTATGATTGTACTTTGGAAGTTTAATGTATCATTCGGATATCTGTGATGTATATTTTGAAATTTAAGTTGTATTATGAACGCACGACGTGCGGGTGGCAAGCTGATAGGTACCTTGTGATGTAACCATGAGAACTGTCACAGGTGGTATCAGAGCCATATGCCGACAGTTGGGACTTTACGTCCTTCGTCTGGAAAAGCCCCGAGCCTCTCGTTCGTGAAGAGTCACGAAGCGAAACTCTCCGTAGGGGATGCCCGCGTGCGGGTGGCAAGCTAATAGGTACCCCGTGATGTGACCCTGAGAACTGTCAATGGATGGATATTGTTAAGCATGAACGTTTCCGCACTATATGTATTCGTATTAATTTGATTTTGGTATCTAGTATCGCTTTAAGGTTGAACGTTATTGCTTGAGTCCTAGCGAGAGCTAGGCAGGCGTTCCGCGGATACCCTTTGGTGCGCCTTAGGGAGAAGTGGGGGCGTCACATTTATACTCCAGGGTAAGCCTAAAAATGACATGCCATTATTAATTTACGAATGAAATATGTCAAAATTTCTAAACGTTCAATAACCTATCTATAAGGGTAGGTCCTAAAAGAGGATCGTGCCAGACCTCTTATTTCCTAACGTTTGTGAATGCAAAAGACAAGAGACAAGGAAAGTTAGTTCAACACATAACCACATAACACGTTGGACAATTTAGATAATATAAAAAGCAACAAAGATATATAAGGAAAGGGGGTGGGATCCCTCCCCTGGTGAATGGTGTCCCTAATAGGGTAAGGTCGACTCTACCCTAGGCAATTCTAATATGGATGCATGAGGTATGGCTAACTAATGCATCTAGACTCGATAGGTCATAGGTCCCCGAGCCTTCAGACTTGGAAACCAAGGGTCATCAATCCCAAGGTTCTTTGTCGGTGGCTCGAGCGATTCCCCAAACACCGCTACGCACACATCGTGTCACCGCTACGTGTTTGAGTGAATCTATCAAAAATCCTCAACCTTCGACTAAAAGCTAAAGGCTAACAACCCACAGCTTAAAGCGGAAGATTGAGTGACCCATTGGATCATGCTACACACACATCGTGTCGTGATCACACGTCCAAGTGGGTCGCCAAAAATCCTAATAGGGTGGAGTGGTGTGACAAGCCACTAAAAGAAAAATAAATGAGGGGTAAATAATAAAGCGTATGCACGTATGCTAGTGCTCGTTTGGAGGGGAGGGATCGAGAACCAACGCGAGGCTCTAGGGTAACACACCCCCCCCAAATGCAATGCAAAGCGCGAGATAAAACAAGTACAACATACATCCAAACAACCCAATCGTACATACGTGAGTGAGGGAATAGTTTGATACGCGCGCGAGGCAAAAGGCCCTAAAATGGAAAATGCAACCCTAATATCCAAATGCTATGCATAAGAAGGGTAGAAAAAAAGGAAAAGAATAGCTAAATCGAATGCTTGGACCCACTTAGGAGCTCCCCAGTGGAGTCGCCAAGTTGTCGCGCCCCACTTTTTGAATGTGGTATGTATAGTGTGTGAGATATGTATGTGAACGTGTGTGAAAGTGAAAAGAAAAGGCCGTGGGATTGAAATGCGACGGTTTGGCCAAATAAAGTTCAAAAAGGGTTTTTTGGATAAAAAATGGAGTCGCCACTTGGTATAGAGTTAGGGTGTACGAAGTCACCCAAAAATGATTTTTATTTTTGAAAGAAAGAAAAAAAAAGTAAACAAACCCTTTTAAAGAACTTTTTAGGTCTACGTAACCAAAGAAAGGGATCGGGGGTCACATTTGATTAGGGAGAAGGCAAAGGCAAAGCCTAAGGCACTCCCTTACCCTAGCCAAAGCTAGTTGCGTGACTTAGCCCCACTTTTCCTAATTATTCTACCCAAGGTATGTATCGCATGTTGGATATGACTAATGGATGCGAAAAGGAAAGAAAAATGCAATCCTAAACCTAAAATGTTTCTCATGAGGCTTTTAGGTCCCAACCACATGAATTGTGGTGGCCAATAAGGAAAGCTCTCATGGAAGTCGTGATTAATGCAAGTGAGGACTTAAGTGTAAGTGTGCAAGTGTGAGAAAATAAAGGTGTTTGTGTGTGCAAATGAATGAAAATAGGATAGTAGATACATATAAGTGCAATTGGATGCCATTTGTGAGATAGAAAATAAATAATAAAAGAAGAAAAATGTGCAAACATGGCATGTGGATTGAGAAAAATATAAGTAGTTAGAAAATGTGGATGAAAGAGTGAGGAAGTGATATGATAAGAATGAGAGTGCATGAACCTAGAGGTATGCATCAAGTCGGGTACGGGAATGACTCCTAATTTCATGACTTTAATTTTCCCTTTGATTAGAAGGAAGAACTAGCGTGCTAAGGCTATTTTGTAGCCACACTCGCTCGTTTCCCTTACCGAAAGGGGACTCTCAAGCAAATGTACCCTATAACTAGCATGAGAATGCAAAAACCTAAAATGAAAGGGAAAGGATTGGAGGATCATGCCAAATGCTAGAAAACTAAGAAAAATGCATGAAATGTAGTGAAACATGCAAGTGTTAACTAGCGGGAGAAATCCCTAATGGTCTAGCGTTGGACTAGCCCATATCTATGAATACCTACTAGCGTTGGACTAGTGGAAAACGGGATAATGAGCCACAACTAGCGTTGGACTAGTGTGGTGACGTGCATTCATCCATCACATTCATCTATGACTATAGAAAGCAAGTAGACATGCCAACCACCTATAAACACGTAGCACATAACACTTAGCATGCTCGGACTAAATGCAAGAGCCTAATAAAGCAAATTAACACGTAGCAACAAAAGCAAGCAATCAATTTAATGAACCTATTACATTTGCTAACTAAAACAAAAGGGGAAGGGGAAAAATGGACAAAATGCTCTCCAAGCCCTATCTATTACAAGCCAAGAGGTGTACACATACCCCATAAAGAATAACTTAAATAAAAAACAAAAGTAAATGAAATAAATGAAAGGAATTAAGGAAAGGCAAGGAAAGCAAAGTACCCATGCAATTCTCACTTAGCACGTTGGAACACATAGGAGCAATGAAAATCAAGGAGATGGAGGTTACCTCCCTTGCAATTGGGCCCCAATGAAATGAAATCACTTATTTGCCCTCCAAAATACGAAGGAAAGGTCAAGGCACCACTTTAATTAACACAACAATCATAAAGATAAAAATGAACCATGAAATTGAATCAATTAAATCATATAAACAACCTACATTCAAGAAATTAAAACAATGAAGGACTTGATTGCAAATATTAACTAAGCTTTGGGGTCAAATTATAATCATCATAAAAATCTGGGGTCACAATCAAAGAAAAATAAAATTCAAGGACCTATATGCAATTAAATTAAGGACCCAATTTGAAAGAAAATGAAAGTTCCTAGGGCCACAACATAATTAAGAAAAGTCTGAGGATTGATTTGCAAAATCATTTTCTGGTTTCTTAATGGACTAAGCCATTGGGCCAACTTTTGTCTATTTTTGGGCCAAAGATCCCTTCAGCCTGCCGCAAAGCCCAGAGGCTACATATGGGCTGGCTTCTACTTATCCATCAAACAAACCCAACCAAAAATGTTGGGCTCTATCTTCCTAAGCCCAAGTCAAAAATTTAGCAAAATAAACTAAACCACTTCCTTAAACCCAAACAAAATAACCTCTTAATCCAAAAACACTTGTTTCACTAAAACCCATCATGATAAAAATCAAATAGAATTATTAATCATAATCATAACCTAAAATCAAGAATTAATTTACCCAAAAGATTACTTAAAAAAATGAAAAGATAATAAAAATCTAAAAGGGCGAATTAAGTCAACTTTTCCAATTTCGAGTCCTATCAGAAATTAGGCAAAAGCCAAGGGACAAAGGTTAATATATACAAAACATGAAGAGACCTAAGCTCTGGGGTCAATTTGAAATTAATTCAGGACCCAATTGAAAAAGATTAAAAGTTTTTAGGGCCAGATCAGGATTTTTGAATGTTATCATCTTCTTTACCGAGAAACTGAAGCAATCACCAGTTAACATTGCCGTTGTTGTTGATCAACAATACCAGAGATTTATTTCAATTCCAAACCAACGAAATCCAGCCAGAACAAAAACAAAACTCATCTCCTATCGCTGACTCGGATTGGAGCAAGAAACAGAGAAACATAACAAAACAGCAATTCATCCAGATTTCTCAAATGCAAGGAAGTAAGCTCACGGACTTATCCGCCTTTTCACAAAAATGCAGATGAATCATTTTCCAGGAGGAATTTTCAATCCGGCATTTCATCGAACATTAAATAGACATTAAAAGTTTACCAGATTTTTTGCTCAAATTGCAGTATAACTAGCCCCAAAAATTTGTCAGAAAATCAAGGAAATTCAGTCCAATCGTCATATAAAGCATACGTATGCTAATTTTTAACAATCAGCGGAACAATTTCAATGAAACCAAACCACTGCCGACATGCTTAGAGAGCTTGGGAAGAAACTGAAATTCAAAGAAAAAGGGTCAACTTACGGAGCTCTTGTGTGAATAGCGGCAATTTGCTGATGGTGCTGAAGGATTCCTACGAGATTGTAGCAGTCTCAATTGTTCAGTCACTTTCTTTTGCTCTGTTTTCATCTCGTCCGCCGCCTTTGTTCTTACGGCTCCTCATCTTTCATTTTCCTCTGTTTTCTTTTCTCTGTTTGTTTTCTTCGGAAACGGCAACGGCCAGAGGTTGTTTAATCTCTTCTAACTCATTGATGGCGGCGGTGATGTGGGGTTGAGAACGGAGGATTTCTTCTGGCTCTTTGTTGAGGGTTTTGCCCAGGGAAAAGGATTTCGCCTTCCTCCGTTCCCACGAAGCTTCCCCCTTCTAATCTTTTCCTCCGATGAAGCACTCCCTTTTTCTTTCAACCCAGGCCCCCCTTTTGTTCCCCTTCTTTTCCTCTCCGCCGCCAACTTC